GCAGCGGGAAAAGGCTCAAATACGTGAGAAACCCGGAGGGTTGGCAGTTAACGTTACTAACTACTAACCTGACAACAGCCAGATGCATGTCTCGCTCCGCGGAGCTAGGCGGAGTGAGACATGCATCTGGCTATTGTCAGGTTAACTAACTACACCTTTCACAACACATAGCAGCTAGTTAAAAGTACATTACATGCGTGAGTGGTTGTTAGCATTAGCGGTTAGCAGTTGCAAAACTAGATAAGAAAGGCCAATTATTGTACCATGTGTAGAAATATATATATATTTTTAATGGTCATTTTTTCAAAAACGCAACAGTTTGCAAACCCTTTAATACTATTTAGAGTTGAGATTGTAACTTTTACTTTTTATCAACGTTTTTTAATTCTAGGTTTTATTAGGAGGAACAATTAAGATCTTTAAGATAGAGTTAAGTAGCCTGTTGTTAGTGCTAAAACTGCACTACTGGATGCAATTGGTGTCCTGACGTAGCCAATTGTAGAAACTCTAAGGTGTTCCTAATTTATTATATTACTTTTGCTTTGGAGCAGATGTGACTCAGTGGGTAAATTAGTGGACCTTTAAACAGAAAGTAAACCCACTTGATCCATAGTGTTTGTGCATCCTATGGAGGGGGGGACGGGGGCGCTCTTGGGGTGGTCTGTATGAGTAGAAAGCCCCTCATTAATTCAGTCAGTTTACTGGCTATTTTAGGAGGAGTGTTGGTGTTGATGGGGCTTTGACTGCAGTGGTATGAACTACAGTAGATGACATGCAATCTGTACCAAAAAAAAAAATCAGAAAATTACTTGTAATGCTTTTTATCGTCAGCTTACATTATTTTTCAAAATTGCTTTCCTTGGACCTGCAGCAGGCAATGAAGCTGTTTTTCCTAAGAAAAGCACAGGCAACATGTTATTACCGACAGATTGCAGTGTACCATTTACAATGTATTTTTAAATATATATATATATATATATATATATATATATATATATATATATATATATATATATATATATATCAGTTTGTTTAGTGTTGTATGTATTTTTGATAAATTAGTTGTTTTATTTATTTTTTTCTTTTCTCCTAATAATTGAAAGGAGATTAATTTAAGAGCTGACAGCAGTTTGAGCTTCATATTATCTATGTATGTTCTTTAAACAGTTTTGAAGATAAAATAGTTGTTTGATTCAGTTGGTCTATCTGGTTCCCATGCTTTTCTTTGTCAGCTGGATACTGATCCTATAAGATGATAAATATCCTTCAAACACATACAGAATATGCATGTGGGTTCATGAATGTATTTTTACATTTGAATGTGTTTATTTTTTGTTTGTTTTTTTGTTTTGTTTTTTTTTGTTATAAACGCACTATTTGAACAAATATTCTGGGTTTGTTGTGTTAAAGGTGATTTTTGTTTTTTGCTGGTGCTGCAGACTTCTCTTTTCTTGCTTTCATTTTTTTGCACCAAAACCAAATTAGAAGCAGATTACTGTGTCAATGCTACCACTTCCTGAGTTGGGCCCTTTTTTGTCTTCTGGCAACCGTAACCCTTATAAAAAAAAAACACATTTTCTTTTATACGTCTAGTCTATCTTAACTGTCCTTTAAAGTTCCAATCCTCCTCAGTGGGCCCTAAAAGCAAACTTTGGATGTGTGATTTTAGAAGGTGATGTAAAGTGGGTGGGGTTAAACGTGTCTGCCATTTTTAGACCTTTTCTTTTTGACAAGCTTTCTGTCTGATGTGGATGTAAATGCCATGCACAGATCATTTGCGCCCATCATCAAAATCTCTCTTAGCCCCCCTTAGAGCTTTTATTATCATACAGTGGGGCTACAGGATGTGAGTAGACGAGCTTAACTATTACCATTTAAATCTAACTTTCCTGATTGATTAGATCCTTTATTTACATGCAAATGCTCACAGCTGAGCAGCTAGCACGTCTGCTGATGCTTCCATTGGGCTGGTGAATTGACATTACAGCTGGGCTACAGCCAGTTTACAGACATGCAAAGAACCTGCTTCTTAAAACAATGTACCACCATTGCCAGATTTCCTTACAACAGGCTAAACAAAGAAGTGCTAACTTAAAAAGATACAGCTGGTTAACATGCTTGATCCATATATGCAATAGTGAAGGGACAAGTGATCCTAATAAGGAATTCAATTAGACGTACGTAAATATCTCAGAATTTATTCTAACCAATAACGTATCTGACATACCATCTTATAAGTTTTCCATAAGCTGTTAGTAAATGTCTTTAATTGGCTCAGGTTTGCTAAAGGACGTGCGTTTGAAAACCAAAGTTGTGTACCCAGTGTAAAAAAACAAAAAACATTGTAACTAGATAAACGTTAGAGCTGATCATTATATGCCGGTATACAGTAAAAGGTTTGTTGCTTAATTCTGTTTTAAAATGTGTTCCTCTTTTCAGGAGTATATGTGTCCACGATGCGAGTCTGGATTTATTGAGGAGCTACTTGAAGAGAGAAGGTGCGTTATAACGTGGGACTAAATTTATTTATTTGTTAATCAAATGACTCTCATAATTTTGTCCTTTTCAAAAAGAACATCTTTTTGTTTATTTTAAATTTTTTTTAATGTAATTTTATCGGGAAGCTTGCAATCACTGATATTCAAATCGGAGGAAACCCCTTAAACTTTTAAAGTAATTTGTAGGAGATCGCTTTTAGACTTGAGTGTTTCATGAGTCTAAAATCATGTTTATCTTTAATCAAAATAAAAGCGCACTGAATTTGTTAATCAAACTATTGAACTATTTGAAATAAAGCTAAAACAATTAATTTAATTAATCAATTATTGAAATAATCAACTAATTTAGTAATCGATTAATCGTTAACTTGAGTGTAGAGACTCTAAAACATGCCTTTAGCTGAAGGTCAACACACCTTTAGCAGCAGTTATAAATTAAATATATAAAATTTTGCATTTAAGTTAAAAGCCTTTTCGTCAGTCAATATGCTCTATCCAGGACTCTTTGAGTGGAAGATGTTTATTTTCACTTGCTTTAATTTCGCCAAAAGTCTTCTTTAAGGAACCATTTGCTATCCGATTATTATTAAAAAATTAATCGATTTGCAAAATAATCATTAGTTGCAGCCCTAATTTAAACAATTGAACAAGATAAGATTTAACTAGGTTCTTAACAGGCTGGTAAAATTTTCTTTCGATTCCAGGTTTTAAGTTGTGCAATTCAAGTCCTCTCATTTCTGTTCAATTGAGTCTTCAGATCAAAAACATTTACTTTGGATGTTAAATTAAAAGAAGAAGAATTAGTACTGTGCAGATCTGATCTGTAATTTTTCTTACCAATTTGTATTTATTAACTACTTGAGTTATTTTTTATATGTCCTAAATTTCATAATAATAAATGCCATAAATTACCTTCAAAAGATACATTTTATTTCAATCAGCAGTTTATAGGACAAGGCATTTTTGTTAGTTTAAAAATCATCATGTTTCACATTAATCAATGCAAATTTATCACTAAATGTAAAATACCATTCAGCTAATGGTATTTTGCAGTGAGCTAGTTTATCTGCCTGAGTACACACCTAAGAATAATTGGTGATTAACTATGGAAGCCCAAAGAGTGCATTAGAGGAAAGATGAAAACTTCATAAACAAACAAGAAGTTGGATTAATGGCCCAGCCCCTCTGTGGAGTCATTTCAGAGTAAGGAAATATTTGGGGAAGCTGTGTTTTATAAGTGAATCACTCTACTGGGGAAGAACTGCCAGCAAAACCTGTTTAAAGATAATTTTTTGGAAAAGTGGAAAAAATGAAATAAACCCATCACCAAGTTCCTTTGTAATTTTGTCAACAATCTGCTTCCCTGTCTAGTGCTGACAATGGTTCCGTGTCCAACATCTCCAGCGGCTTCCAGAACCAACAACCATTTGAGGTTTTTAAGCTGATCTTTACTCAGACTCTTACCTTAAACATGGAGATCTCTGTGCTTTCTCAGGTCTGTGACTCTGTTAGACACCATCTGTTGTGTAACAGAGTCGCCATTTCTTAAAACATCATTAACTGACATTTTTTGCTTAACCCGAGTTCTCATAGCTTTCAGTTCTGCTTTTGCACCTTATGTTTATTTTAAAAGAAAGTTTTAAATCTTAAGTTTTAAAATTAGGCTTACTGACATTCGTCATAGATGATCTTTATATTTGTCTGTGAAAGATTTATTTTTCATAGTTAATGTCTTTTGCTTTGTGTGTTTTATTTATTTTAATTTTTTTGTATCTTCTTGACAGAATGTGGACCAGCAGTTATTTCCATTCCCTTCAGGCTTTGGTCAGATATCCTTCAGCGTCATTGACGACAGCTTTGACCTTGGGCCTGGATTGAGAGCGGAGGACAGTCGGGATGCTGAAAACCAGTCTGAAAGGGTGACGTCATCTCGGCAGCGACACACTGCAGGGCAACCAAGAAGTCGTCATGGATCAAGGCGCCAAGCGGGAAGACATGATGGGGTTCCTACTCTAGAAGGGTAAATGATGTGGACCGTTGTTTGTGCTGGTTATCGCATTCTTTCTAGCTCTTTTCTCCTTTACTCTATTCTTAAAACAATGAAAATTTGCCTTTTCATTTTCTCATAGAATCATCCAACAGCTTGTGAATGGAATAATTGCACCTACTGCAATGCCAAACATTGGTGTTGGAGCCTGGTGAGTCTGCAGCACTGGGATTAAAGAACCTAAAGATTAAATCACAGCCATTTTCTGTTCTAATATCTCCTTTTTTAAAGGGGGGTTCTCCACTCCAATCCAATGGACTATGCCTGGGGCGCTAATGGGCTTGATACTATTATTACACAGGTATATAAAGTAAATAAAGAATATGTAAGCTCTGGTGTATTAATGTTAATATTTCACCTCCAATAATTGCATTCTTTATTTCTTTTCTTTCCCGTTTAGTTATTAAACCAGTTTGAGAACACAGGGCCACCGCCTGCTGATGGAGACAAAATAAAAAGTCTTCCCACAGTACAAATTAATGATGAGCATGTTGGTAAGTAAAAAGCAGATAATTACCTACACTGAATGAAGAGAACTATCTCTGATTTGTGTCAGCAAGTTTTTTTTATTTTTTTATGTTGATCCTTAAAACAGTTAAGATCTTTTTTTGCATTACCAAAAACACAACTATGAACACTTTGGGTGTATAATGGTTTAATCGCTTACCTAATATCATATATACAGTATAAATATTTTCTTTAATATGGAAGGAAAGGGGTCAAATGGATGGGGAGTGTTGACCTAGTGGTTAGAGCAATGTGCTTGTGCCCTGAGGAGGTTGCAAGTACCTGGTTGGATTCCCACAGCTTCCACTCTGAGTTCCTGAGAAAGACCCTTAGCCCCACACTGCTCCCCGGCCGTCACAGAAGGGCAGCCCTCTGCTCCCCAAGGGGATGGGTTAAATGCAGAGTGTGAATTTCCCCACTGTGGGACAATAAACGGATTTACATTTATATTTCAAAAATCTGATTTGGTTGGAAAAGATGGGAACTTTGAGTTTTTATCCGAATGATTAAGCCCTAACTTAAATGGGTTATGAGCCAGATTAACATGCTAACATTAGCCAACTAATTTCCTAAAGTATTTGCTCGTAAGCAGGAGCGAGACGCACATTAAAACTGTTTTGTTCGTTTATGACTCTGACCATTTTATTAAAAATCTCTAAATCCTGATCAGAGCATTCTAATGACCGTGGTTCTTAATAAAGTCTTGCTGCTGGCACATTTCAGCTAATAGTAGTTAAAGGGTTCTATGTGTACCTAGCTTTTTAACACCCGCTTCTTTTCAGCTTCCAGGCTGGAATGTCCAGTGTGTAAAGAAGATTACAGTGTTGGAGAAAACGTGCGGCAGCTCCCGTGCAATCACATGTTTCACAATGATTGCATAGTCCCTTGGCTGGAACAGGTATTACACATCATCCAACCCTGTTTTCTCTTCTGCTTACTGTAAATATTCACCAGTTGGTGTTTAAAACGGGGTCATGAAGAGTAAATATCTATACCACCCTTGTTTATTATTTTTTTCTCAGCATGACACTTGTCCAGTATGCAGGAAGAGCTTAAGTGGACAGAACACGGCAACGAACCCTCCAGAGCTATCAGGGATGAACTTTACCTCATCTTCATCGTCCTCCTCCTCCTCTACCCCTCAGTCTTCAGGTTCTACCAGTAACGAGAACTCCACTGATAACTCTTAGGAAGGGCGTTTGTTTTGATCGCCTCATGAGCTGTTTTCTGCTCCTTTGCTGCTCTACTTTAGAGCAATGTCCCTCCCTGCAGTAGGGCAGAGACCTGAGTGCATATCACCAGGATCACTCAGGCCTGTTTCATAGGTAAGTGATACATGTGTTTATGTATTCTTGCCCAGCTTGTCCCCCCCCACCTTCATCAGGAATGTGAACAGTGGAAGGGTAGAGGCCTACCCTGCAGCTTCTGACTGGGAGGATGTGGAAAAGCATGAGACTGGTGGTGCTGAAACGGCATCTGAAAGGAGAGTAACTGAGGTAGAAGCACCAAGGCTGCTGGCAGTTTTATACATTTTTTAAGTTTGGTTGGTTCAATTTAACCCACTTTTGCCATTAGCACATGATATGGTTGTTCCTTTTTTAAAGTAGCATAAAAATATTTGAATGCTTAGTTTCATTTTGCATTACGATGTAATCCTTTGGTTTGAAAGAATAATCCATACGTTTCCAATAAAAATAAACAAAAGTTTTTATAATTGTTTATTTTGAACAAATATTATCCCATGAGTTGCAGTGATTGTTTGAATTAAGCTATTTATTACCAAAGCCTAGCCCAGGTGTTTGATAACAATTTAGATTTTCTATCCCAGATGCTACATCTTTTGGTGACAAATGCTAAGCTTTAAAAAAAAAAAAACAGTTTGTGGTGCAGAAATACAGAGATTGTTTAATGCTAAACAGAGGCCCACTTTGCACACCCCTGCTCTTTTTCTAGAAGCCAAAACTGCAGTGCAGCACATATATCTTTAAATTCAAATAATTAACCATTGGAAGGTGAAGATCAAGGGTAGAAAATGGCTACACCTTCACTCAAGTTCAGAGGCATCTTATTGGAAGTAAAAAAAAAAAACAACTTAGGTTGTTTTATTTTGTTGCTAACTACATAGTTTGTGTAATTCATTGTATTACTCTTAAATAGAGCACATTAGAAACTAGATTGTATCAGCAGCATTCACTACCCCTATATGCAGGTAGCTACAGTATACTGGACAGTAAACTCAAAGTTGTTCCATGAGCTGCTCAGTAACAGTTCAACAATTGTGAGCAGGTCTTTTTTAATTTCAAGTAGAGGAATTATTTTGATTGGTATGAACTTGTAAAATCTACCTCTGATTACAAACAGGGACCATTAATCACTGGGTTATTACCAGTATCCCAGAGAACATGAACTAGGGCTAGTCTAGCTATTTGATCTGAATCTGTAAATCAGAGGAAAGTTTTAGAATATCTGTGTCTGGATTGAAGGATTGTTTTCTCTCTCATAGGAATGAAAATGATGTGAATTTTTTTATTTTGTTTCTGGTTTAAATAGTTTTAATTGCAAGCAGAAATATGTACCAAAAGATTAAATGCAGTAGACTTTAGTATGAATCTGTGTATATTTAGCACAATTCATTCCAAGAATGTTTATTTGAATTCTTAAATCACAAACGGCGCTAGAGATTCACTGATCAAGCTTTTCTGGGCCAAAAGGACTTATCGTTTTCTTTAAAGGCCTGATCTGTTGATTCCAAATTTGACCAGTTTCATTTTTTTTTTTTTTCATTAAGGTCTATAACAGAATATGGGTCAGAATATGTTGTGGGTTCTCTAATAAAGCCAGCAGACAATGACTAATAGTCTGATTAAATCCTAGCAGACAGTCATTTTTTATAGGTATCAATGCATTAAATAAGTTAGTAAAAATTCAACGTTTCTTTTGATACTTTCAAGGACAATCAAGTAAAAACTGGCCAGTCTGGTTGCCTGATTGGCTCATTTTTTAACAGTACATACAATTATTGAACTGTTTCCCATGTAAATCTCTCAGATGTTTTCATCACTGTTTGGTTGGATGTGTTTGTGGCATTTCAATAAGAAAATCTGGGCTTTATAATATTCTGTATTAAATGCAAAGTGGAGCATGAATGTAATAAAGGATGCCGATTTTTTTTTTTCTTTTTTCTATTTTATAGAAATATTAACATGTATTGTATTACATGTTAAGTTTTGGTTATCAGACTAATTTATGTGTTCCTTTCTTGGTACTCTTACACTCTTAGAACAATTGAGGGACAATAGCCCCCATTAGCAAACGCTTTTGAACCTCTTTTCAATGCATAATAAGGCTTTGAGATAATTTTGTACTTTCAAAGTGATGACTGATCCAATGGTATGCAAAAAGTAAACAGACTGTATTGAATCCTTTACTGCTGCACTTGCCTGATAAATATCATCAATAAGCCAACCATGTCATGCTTCCTTTTATTGTTTGGCTATATGTGTGCATTTCCTCTACTTTGTACCATTATTGTCCCCTGGGACATTGGGTTCCAAGGCTTTGACTGAAAGAGATTGTTGTGGTGGACAGAACACTTGTGGATAGACAAAAATAAACATTTGATTTACAGCTTTGAGGTTTGATTTTGTATTTTCTTTCTTTTTACAATGTGAAAATTGGTTTACTTTAAGCTCTTTTTGCTCACATTGAGATTCAAGGCTTGGCAGAATCAAAACGCTTTTTAACAAGTTGACTGTTGCAACTGAAGCTCTAGTATCGGATAAAAAAAATTAGGTCAGTAGGAGTGTTCAGCTCCTTTTTAAGTCAATCAACAATGGCAAAGTTCTGTTGCTGTTAGCAACAGCGTTGATATTAAAACTTACCGTAGTAGAAATATAGTTACTTCCAACTAATCACTTAAAATGTTTCATGGAGTTTTCTCCCTGAAGTCACAAATACAGTTAATGTTTATTTGTAGCTGTGGTTAAGAAAGGGGAGGGAAAAAAAAGATTTATAGATTTTTTATTGCAGTTAAACAGATTTTTTTTTTTTTTATCTTCCTCTTTAACAGTCTGGTCAACCAAACGGTTGATCATTTTCATAGGAAACCACAGGCTGGAGTTGAACAAGGATGTTTAAAGGGTTAAAAGACATAGACAACAAAATCACAGGTGGCACAGTTATCAGTAAGTCATTTAAGCTCTGGCATTGTCGACCAGAATGATAGAATCTGAACAAAAGAACAATGTTTACCAGGTCCTCAAAGCACACTCCTGCATGTATTTCCCCAGCATTAACACACCTGATTTCAATGTAGGACAGATTAAAAAGGCTTCAGAGAACCGCAATAATCTGAATCAGGCTTGTTCACCGGTCTGGAAGAATGTCAACACCCTAAAACCTAGCTGCAGCTCTCTTTGGTTGATAATGTAGGAATCATTTAAATTTACATTGGTTAAAAACAATACATGAAATAACAAAAAAAACAAAACATTTTAAATGATCAAAGTAAGCAGAAAACATTATTTTGATAAATTAATAGGTAGATTATAGGGAAAAAGAAAATCAGAAAAGCAATTAATGAAAGGTGCAAAAAGAAATTATCAAACATCCAAATCTGGTTTTAATAATGACAAAGCTTTAGATAAATATTTTCGTGGAGGAAATCCTGAAAAAACATTGGTTATAGCGTACTTTATATCTGCACAGAAGATGGCATCTATTAAATAGGCTCTTAGCTTTTAAGAAGCATACTGCTTTAGGAGCCCGTTATCTTTTGTGACCAAAGGCAACTAAAACAAAATAATACCCCTAACTGTTGTAAAATATTCCAGGTCTTGCAGTGTAACTAAGATTCCCTGTCCTTGATGTTGCCTCTTCCACATTCATTTCCATATTACTGTCTTCCAGTTGACTTTGTCCAGTCCAACCAATCAAATGTTTGTCAAATTCCAATCAGCAGGATAGATGCCCTCCCTATGGGGATGTGTTACTACCATTGAATCCTATACATTCTTATACTTTTTAAAAGTTATTGCAAAATGCAGTAAACAGTTGTCTGACAGTAAAAAATGTCTAACTGGCTGTTTAAATAACCCTGCTGATATGCAACCTTACATTTTCATTTAAAAGCATCTTAAACCTATTTTTTAAAAAGACTTAGACAAACTTTATTGTAATTTTGTGTAAAAAGAGTGTATACAAAACGGAATGTCGATACATACAGCTTTTCGACAGTGAAACATTTCCATTTATAGAGTGAAGAAGTGATCAAAATGTAAACTGTAGGAGAGACATGGTGCAACAGACATTGATGGAAAGGTTCAGAGCCATTAATCGCTGATTGAGTCTATTTTAAAAAACAGTGGATAAAATTCTTTCAGGTTTGAGTTTTGGGCGAACATCTTTTCCATTGTCATTACTTACCTACTTTTATCAGTTATCATTCTGCATAAAATTGATATTTACAATTACAAATATCTACATTTTTTATTAAAATATTTGTCTATGATTTCACTGAAGACTCCTAGATGACTTTTCTCTTTACCCCATAAAACAAAAAAGCTATTTCTCCTTGAATTCTGTATTTATCAGTGTGTATTGCTTGGCTAAGGGTGGCCAAGGCTATCTCTAGCCCCCCATCTAGCTCCGCCGCTGCCAAGATGGTGTTAATAAGAAGTTTCAGTGATGAAACAGTTAATAATGATGGAATGATAATGCGTCGCCACGCCCGCTGATCTACGTCATGCGTACGTGCTGATAAGGGCGTGTGCGTAGAGGACGACCAAGCAAGCACATCAGCTCTGTCGGCATTGAGGAATTGACCTCAGGGAGCGGCGGCATTAAGTAGACTTTCCACAAAAGACAATCTCACAGGGTGTTTATTTCTGGGTAAAATCGGTTTTTATTCACTAGCCATGAAGTTATTGTGGGCTGTCGCTGCCCTGCTTTTGAGCTGTTGGCGAGCCGACGCTTCTACAGGTAAGAATTGTGTGTCCGCCATGTTGCTTCAGAATCAGACTTTGCCCCGAATACGAACATTTTGTTTTGTTCGCTCTCCTCAGACATTTTTTCGACGTTAAATGAACACATATTGGCTGTCTTATAATCTTATTTCCCTCTGTAGGTGACTGAAGCGAGTTTACGGTGTTTTTGAGACGTACCACCCGAACCGTTTAGCTAATTTACGGTTGAGAGAGCGGGTTGACTCGCATTATAACTGCTTTAATGCCGCACAACGTGTGACGCTTTGAAGCCCTAGCTTTTTTTTTTTTTTTTTTTTCAGAAAAACGTTATTTCTTAAAAATCACGGGATTACTTTAGAGGCACATGAGAAGACGTGAGTTTTAATGCGCCCCCTCGGAGCTGTGGTAAATTTAACCTCAAATTGCGTAACGTATGAAATGATTACTTGCGTTACTAACTAGATTAACGCAGGTTTTTAAATTTAAAGGGTTGTATTTGAGACGCTCATGTGTTCCGGATCCTTAAACAATCATTTTATTTGTAACCGTTAACGTTGCGACTCCTGAGCTTTCCAAACCAAAGGCGACCTAGTTTTACAGCTATTGTTTATCAAACGTTGGGCCTAATTAAATTAAGCTCGTTATATTTTGATTCTTTATGCAAATGTTGCTTGGATTAAAAAAGTAACGATGTTTTATATTTTAATCCAACATACACTTTAACGCCCTGAGTGGTGGCACGTGTAGAAACTGGGTTCTGTCTAAAATGACTCATTAGTCAATTTGCTATAGATAATTTTTTTTCGTCAGCTGGTTGTACCTTATCATTCTTTACTACAGATGGTTAGGAATGTAGTACATCTTAAATGATCTTGGTTATTATTGAAGAATAATCTTGATTGAGTATTGATTGTGTTCTGTCAGAAGTCTGATTGGATTAATTTGACCTAATCAAACCAGGCTCCAATCACACCACAGTTTGGGATCTTAAGCCAGTTATTCGTTTTATCCATGATCACTGATGTTTACCTTTATCAAGGCTGCACTTTAAGAAACAATGAGAAGACCTATAGAGAGCTGTACTTAACAAAATTTATTTTTGTATACACATTTGTGTACACAATGACAAATTAAATCAAAGTATATGTCCTGTGTCAGGAAAAAAAAATTTATTTTTAATTTTTTTTAATTCTGTTTAACAATTATTTTTCTTTTCCAGTGTAACACAATCCTACCAGGGACACTGTTGTTGTCCCCATTGAAATGCCAAAAGCTAATTTTGGAAAGTCAATCTTAAAAGAACTTCAAGCATATATTCCTGTTACAGAACAATACTTAAAATAGAAAACTAAATGTGGGTGGGGGAAAGAAAAGTCAGGTAAACGTGTATTCGGTTTAAATAGTCATAAGCTCTGAAGGTGACCTCTTGTATATGGTGGAAAGCTGCACTAGAGCAGTACACAGTGCCTGACGCTAATGTTTACAACTAAGGATCCCTTTTGACCTGCTGACATTTAACCTTATTTGTTGGAGGCAGTGAAGACGGCTACTTTCAAATGTCTGTACCTTACACTAGCGGTTGACATGATTTAGCTTATGTTGTCTGGCAACATGTTTTTCTAGCCTGTTGAATAGCCACACAGCTCCACTCTGTGAGTGTAGAGGGAGGACATCTACACATGCAGAAAGGGCTGGAATCCAAAAGCACTCATTAACAGGCTTTCATTAATTTGTAGCTTTACTTGCTGTGCTTGCTTTCCTAGTAGACATAATCGGCATGAGTAATGAAGCCTGATTTACTGGTCTTCACAGAATGCCTTAAAGGGTTGGCAGTTTCTCAGGCCATTTAAATGCATTTCTGCGTGAGAAATGTGTAGTTTAAAAAAAAAATCACTACACCATATATTGGAACTTATAGTTTGTTTAGTGAAGCGTGCAAAGCCGCTATTCAATCAATGGCATGGTGGCCTAAAAATATCCAGTGTTAACCTAGATTAACTTTGACACCGCCGTCAAACACCATTTGCTTCAAGTGTCTTCATTTTCATCAACTTTTGGTTTGAAATGCTTTTTCTTTTCCATCTTGACTTGCTTTTGTCTTTCACATTGCACTCAGTTCAAATGCATCAATGCTTGTGTTTCACAGTTTTTACATGACCATGCTCATTTAGCTAACAGCTGTTTCTGAAATGGCAATTGTATGGAAACAAAATCTGAAGACATCAGCAGAGCCAAATAGTTGCATTATACTGAATCAAACGTTCACCAGTTGGATTTAAAATTTAAACTGGCTCTATTTACATACATCTATTGGATATTTTTGTACCAGGAGAACAGGCATGGTAAAGCAACTTTGTTTTTATGCAGAGGTTCATGCATGTGTTGGTGCTTTTTTGGACCTTACTTAGGATTTAAAAACTTAGCTTAAATCTTCAAGCTACAAACTGTTACGATTCATTTCTATCCTCTAAAACCGCAAGGGTTTTAGGAAAAAATATTTTTGCTGTTGCTAAATGAGCTTTGGTCATCTAGAACTGCCTTTTTGTTACATTTCTTTTACTTGATCAGAGTTAAAAATGTCTCTCAGAATTGGCTGTAAAATCTGATCTGTGCGCCTGTCTTGTGCTTGCTTTCATATTTTAATTTCTTTGTGTTTTAACTTTGTCTTTATGCTTTTTTTCCCCCTCTCCATTTCTACATTTTTATCATACCACACATTCATCTTTGCTGCTAACACCATTAAATGTCTTTTGAATTTGTTTGCTGGGCTGTCTGTTAATTGCACTCAGCGGGTTTTATAATATCCCCTCTCTCCAAAATGAAGCTCATCAATGACAGTGTTGAGCTGCACTGTGAAGTAATAGGGAACCCCATTCCTGAGGTGCAGTGGTGGTTTATAGAGGGCGAGGAGTCCAACGAGACATTCACCCAGCTGTTTGATGGGGCACGGAATGAACGTGTCAGAGTAAATGCCACATACATAGAACATGCCACCAGCACCATTCACCTCCTCAGCCTCACTCTTGATGACACAGGCACATATGAGTGCCGTGCTTCCAACGACCCTGACCGCAATGATCTGAAGAAGACTCCCAAAATCAAGTGGATCCGCTCGCAGGCAAACATAATTGTGATTGAAAGTGAGTGGAAGGAGAAAGTGAGGAGGCTCAGGTTGAAGTAGCTGAGTTTTAGCTCTTCATTAGTGAAATCCTGGACTTCCTACCCTGTTTTCCTGGTTCAATATCCTATCCGTGTAGTACAAGCTCTCCCTTTTTCTCCTCAGAATCTCCAAGGTTGTCCTGTAGTGAAGTGTGAACCTGGTTTCAGAACATAGCCTGGCTGCCCCTTTAGGCCTCTATCACCTGACTGCAAAGAATGCATTTAATCTGATACCTCCTCCGCTTTCATTTCAAGACTTGGTCAAATACAGTTGATGGCTCTGTTAATTACAAGTCTGGTCATACTGTGTAAACCCTCAATCGGAAAGAATGGGCACCAGCCCTTCCAATCCTGCAATGGTAAATGGGTATAGAGAACAGGGCTGTCAGATTACTGCCTTAGTGATGCTGCTTGATAGGCCTTGCTTTATTCAAATATTTTGTAGGGGATGATGCAAACTAGGTGTTCATTATAAGAAATAAATTGACAACGCAGCAGTGAACCTTCTGCAAAGTCACATTTCTGAAAATGGACCAAAAACGCATTGTCCCACTTATACCATGGTCATTAATAAGAGGAATAATAAATACTTTAATTCATTTTTATCATTAAGAGCTCAAGGTTTTAACAATGTTGTGACATTTGAACAGAATGCTTTAAGTTGTCCCTTTCCAGGCAGTCTGAATTAGTTTTTCACTCAGACCATGGTATAAACTAGTTAATGCTCGTAGCTGTTGCTTATAGCCTGCTTTACTATAGGCACAGAAGATGTCAACTGGTTATTAAACATTTGGGAACCTTTTGCCTTGAGTATTGTACTGTTATGTCACTGAATAAATAAAACAGAAGACCCCATTTGCTCTAAAATATTCCATATCTGAAACTGTAAGAATGGAACTTCTCTAAGGTGTTGCTTCTTCTGCATGCATTTACCAAAACACTTTTCCCCATGACCTTCTTGTAGTTTACTTTGTCCATTGCCTTTTCTGTTTACTCCTGTCCTTTGGTCTCCTTCTCCTTACCAGTGAGTGGGATAGATGTCTTCAGTCTTACAACCATTAAGTGCTATGCATTCTGTAGTTTTTGTGGTTTATTAGCAATATGCACTAAATGGTTATCTGACAACGAGACATCTATTTTCTAATTTTCTTTCTCTTTTCTTTGTCTTTAATAAAGACTCAAAGATTTCTTTTTGATTCCTAGGCCCCAAAATCACTGCAGATCCCACTGAGGTTGTCAACCAAACATCTGCCATTCTGAGATGCAACTTGACCGAGAGTAACCTTAGCAGTAAGGGTTCCTACTGGACTCTCAATGGCAAAGTCATTGAGGACACAAAGTCTGATGTGAACAAGTACCATGCTCAGTTGAGGTAAGAAGCAGATTGTTGTTCATTAAGGCAGCAGGTGATGTATTCCCAATGTTCTATTGTCTCGTTATCACTACTGACGTGCTTTCCCATGACAAACACTATGGCTTCCTCCATTAGCAGCAGAGTTCAGGTTTTCATTCAGCCATTCATAACGCTAGATTAGTGAGGTGGACCGTGCAGGCATGCTGCTTTGCTGGCAGTCTTGGCAGCAGGGACGTGGGGCCCCTAGCTGTAGCTGCCTGGTCTGGCCTTAATTCTACATTTTAGAGAGAAGGCAGGACTGTAGTTCTGAACAAAGCAGGGCTGTGATTAATGGCAAATTTGAAATATTCATGCAGACAAGCGGCTTTAGTTTCACACCCAGATATGCAGCATAAGTTGTACTTTTTTTTTAAAGCTGCAGTTTAGGTTAATGGAGTTGCACTTGTTTTCTCGTACTGGAAAAGATAATATAACTGGGATTGTTGCTTGTTTAAAAGTCAATGGTGCCTCTTTGTTCCTTTTAGTTTGGAAAAAATAACCCATGCAGAGTCTGGACCCTATGAATGTGTTTTTGATACAGAGCCACAAGTAAAGCAGACCATTGAAGTGAAAGGTAAATTTAAGTCAATTGCTGAAAATTTGCCCTGTTCACATTATTGAGGGTAAATATGCCTTTTTTTGTTTTATGCAGTACTTCCTTCTGTTGGAGCCTATAAGCACTCTGAACACGGGAATGAGAATGACAAAGTAGTGCTCAAATGTGTGGCTCATGGTTACCCCCTTCCCACTGACTGGGTGTGGTTCAAAGAGGATGCAGAGGATGGTCGTGAAATGGTGGGATATATATGCTTTTTTTTTTTTTTTTTTTTTTACTGGATTTCGTTGTTGGTCTCTCTAAATCTAACTCACTCCCTTATGCTCTACAGCCCATCTCCAACTTCACTAATGAAAGATACAATATCAAGAGTACCCCCAACCAGACCCTCCTGACCATTGATGAACTGGACATGGAGGGCGACAGTGGAAACTACATTTGCTCTGGTACCAATGAACTCGGCACTAATACCGACAAGATAAAGCTGCGAGTACGGAGTCGCCTGGCTGCCCTCTGGCCCTTCCTCGGCATTGTGGCAGAGGTCATCATCCTCGTGACAATCATCTTCATCTATGAAAAGAGGAGAAAGCCTGATGAGGTCAACGATGGTACGTGCTGCATGTATAAAAGAACACTAATGGCAAACAGGATTATGATCCTGCCAATCTGTGGTGTTTTTGCAAAACTTTTCTTTTTCTTTTAGAAACCCTCAATCAAGTTCAGGATTTGAGGTTTCTTTTTTGGGAAATTACAATTAAGTTTGGGTAGTTTTTGATTCCTTTGAAGGTGCTAAAACATCTGTCAGGCTTTTACCTGCAACTGCAAATCTTGTAAGTCATTACATATAAATCTGTTGGTTTTCTCAATCCCCACTGGACTGCAGGGGAAAATGGTAGCATGCCTTGTATTTGAGACGGGGCTATCTTTTGTTTTGTCATTATTTACTTTTATTTTAATGTAGCTCATAATTTGGCTTCTGTTTTTATCAAAGCATTTTTTTTTTTTTTTTTACATTTTTTACTTCTCTGTTCGCTGCTGATTTTGCATTTTGGTAAGTGAACAAAAACTGCATGTCAGACTGAAGTGGTTGAGCTGAGATGACTGCGTGGGGAAGGAAAAAGCTATGGGAGCCTGACTGAACTGCTTTCATAGTAACCACTTCTAAGAGGAATGTGCTCAAAGATTTGGTCACTCTTTCACTGGCGCTGAATGTTTTTCAAGAGCAAGCCTAAAATTCACGTTCACTTTTTGGTCCTTAAAGTCAGTCTAGTCTTTGGGCCAATGAAAGAGTCAAAAAGACACTTGAAGTGTAATTGTTTGCAATGATGCTGGTCAAAATTTGATAAAAGTCCTTCGACTTGTTTGCATGTTTTCTGCATCTTGTACTTAATGCATGACGACCAAAAGGAAGCGACCTCGTAAAGATCAGTCTATGCCATGTCTCATTCATCATTCGGACACAAAGGAGCCTTACTGTCTTGCCTTGTGATTACATGCTATTGCTCAGGTGTGAAACTTCCACTACACATTGCTAGGATGCGTGTTGGCTCTTTCATTTTTAGAATACAACTGTTGCAGTGTTATCTCTGGCTTGGTTTGCATGAGCCTCTGTGATGCTGAGAGTTTCAAGAGGAAATTGCAGTAAAAATTAGTGCCAACTGAACAGTTCAGCATTACTGGAGACTGGCTGGAGCAACAGAACTGTTAAAATTGCATTTTATATTGATAGTTTTTTTTCTTTTTCTAAAACAAATAGATCTAGTCGAACTGTTTGTTTGAATCACCGTTGTATGAATTCGGTTGTCATGAATTGTAATGACGAGCACATCTTTTCATGTGTAGTTAAATTGATCGTGTCATTGCAGTCATGTTTGAGATGTCATTTACCATTTGCTATAACCGTTGATTGCAATGCTCTATAAATGTCCTCAGTAGGTTTTGCTGTTAACTTTTTTTTTTGTTCTTTTTGTTGATGCAGACGATGACGTAGGATCTGCTCCTCTGTAAGTAATGTTAAAACTTGAGCTTTTTTCTTTTCTATTTATTAGCCTTTGCTAGAGCTCATTTCATTTGTATTCCAGGAAGAGCAATTCCACTTCAAACCACAAGGACAAGAATGTGAGGCAAAGGAATTCCAACTAAAAACAGCAGGAGGTATGTGAAAATGACAAAGAAAGCTAACTACATTACTCTTAATAAGAATTTCTTTTTTTATATTATATATGCCTCTAACTCTAAATAAAAAAAAAAGTGTAATAAATTCAAAGAACTGGATCACTGAAGCAGATTTCATTTTAAGCATTGAACACTGGCAATAGTTGCCAGGAATTGGTTTATTCTAAAACCTAAATGGTTTTTCTCTATAAACGTCTTTGTGGGAAAGTGTTTTTCCTGCTAGAGCAGGAACTTTCTTGGACATTTCTTTCCTCTAAAGGCCTCTCCACTGGGATTGTTCATTTCTTTCAACTATCTACATTATGACCTGCTAAGAGAAATGTCCTCATGGCATTAATCTGCAGTAATGACGTATGATTTGCTAATTGTAATGCCATAGTTATAACTACTACTCTTAACTGAGAAGTTTTTTTTTTTGTAAATAAAAAAGAAAACTGAATTTTTTTTTTTACCTCCCATTTCTAGATGGATGTCCAGTTGGCACCCCAGGATTTATGTGTGGCACATTATATTGTGCAATCCCTCCATTTTTTAACTAGCTTTTGGTGTTTTGTTTTTTTTCTTCCCTCTTCTTTGCATCGTGCAGCCAGGAACATGGTGTGAAACTCTCTGCTTGAGGCCCTGTGGCAAATTTTGCATGAGTTTAAATGCTATTCTAGCAAAGTGTGTGCTGTAAGATTACATAGGAATGCATAGTTTTGTAAATTTCTTTTATAAGCTGATTCTTCCTGCTTTACAATTGTCACTGTTTATATGATTAACTGTTCGCAACAAGTTTTCTGTAATACCTTTTAACAAGATTATTGGTGGAAAAACAGTGCACTAGATTTCATGTATGAGCTGTTGCAGCCCCTCAAGCTGTGGTTTGCAGAGTGTTTTACTTTGCCTTAAACTGCTTTTCATGTCTTTTTTTTTGTTTTTAACCTTGCCTCTTTTAAAAAATACTTTTAGATCCAAATTTCTTTTTAGAAATTTACAACCATTTAATCTCTTCAAAGTCTTTATCTTAGATCTAATTTTAATTGGATGATTCTTTTCTTTTTTTTTTTCTTTTTTTTTTTTGACTTAAAATGGTTTATCTTTGCAGACTTGACCACTCCAGTATAAAGATTACCCTGGACCAAGTGCAAAAGATTAGGTGTTGCAATGCATATTTGGTAATGTGCACACATTTTGAATAAAACTACTGAATCTCTGCTTTTGCTATCTGAAACATCTGATTGTTAAATGGTTGTCTCTTTCCTCTTCACTGTGTAGATAATTCAGAAGCCATATATATATATTTCATTTAACCTGAACAGTGTGGTTATTGAATGTTAAATTTTAGAGTTGCAAAATTTAAAGAGTTGGCCAGATTGTGTCAAGTGTGTAGCTCGGAAGGACATCATTTGTACAACTTGCACAAACTGAAATAAAGAGATTGAAATTTAAGTCTGTTCTCTTGGTTTGGTTTAATATCTTGCAAAGTACCATTTATCTGAGGGGGAAAAAGTTTAATGTCCTGGTTAACGTTTTGCTTTAACGAGAAAGTCCTACATTACAATTTTTCCCCAAGTGCTGGCCTCAGGATATGAACATCACACACATTCCTGAGCAGTGAATTGACCATTGCTTTCAGCAATATGAAGGCGTACAAGATCAGATCCCTTTATAGCCTCTGATAAGATCATAGACCAAAGAATTGTAGTGGACCGCATCATTCAACAGATGAAGTAGGAGTGTGTTGTGTAGAGCTGGACTGGAATGTAGAATCATACAATACGAAATAAGTGCTATTCGCAGTATTATCTACAGGTGGGAAAGCATCTCAACTCTTCTATACAAGCTCACATTAACATCTGGCTATGATGGTCTCAGAACTTTAACACCTGTGTTGCATGGAGGTTCCCAGTAAAGGGATAGTCATGTCTCCTTACAGCTGTTAAGGGCTCATCTTAAACACAGCTGAAGGGGATTTCTTATTCAGAGCTAAACGGTGTGAATTCACTGGATACTATTTACACACGCCTATTACAATTAATGGTTCAATTAAAGTATGCAGTATTGGTCCATCAGAGCTGAAGGACCATTCAGATTTATTTTTTTTATTCTTTTCATGTGTGGACTTTTGAACACTAAGTGTTTGGAAGACTGTTCGTGTTTTAGCTTGTATTTGAGCACACAGCTATGTATACATGTAAGGCCCTTCCACTATTTACTGTATATTTAAACAATCTTAGATGAGCAGAGTCGCCCAAAACGTTGCATGATTTGAAATGGTGCTGCTTCACAAGAATATTAAAGTACGGTAAAAAAAAGTGGTACAGTAAAACTCACAAGTACATAGATGTTTCAGTACATATAACCAGTTACTGCCCACCTTAGGTTATGTATACAGGTCATTGTGTATATATATATGAGCAGCTTTGCTATATGGAAAGCAAGGATTCACCCATCACACAGCAGCCTCGTCTCATGTCCACATTAATTGCGTTTCGAGCCATCACAGACGGGCTGCTGAAGGACTGGAAGCCAGGAATGTATGGCAGGAATTTGCTTTGATCTCATGTACCATACATAACATGACTTTTTTTTTTTTTTAAAGTGTGGAATTTCTGGATCCAATTTTACATCCAATGGTATATGCATGCATAAATGTTGAGAGGTGAATGCTGCTGTTGTCTGGTTTTACTGTAAATCTTGCCAGGTTGCTGCTGTCAGCATGACATGGGAACATTAACTTTCAACACAGAAATATTATCGTCTTTGGACTTCTGCACTTCCTTGTTTGTATTTTCTGCTTAGCATGTAACCCCTAAAACAAGAACTCTGTCCGTTCCAGCTCTAGATCTGTGTCCAAAGGTCTTCATCTGATTAAAGGTGCAAAAACACCAAACCACTGCACACTTCCTGAGTAGTTTTTTTTTTTTTAAAGACAGAATCCTGAACCCTCAGTTAAATTCTCTCTATTTTCTGGAATTTCTCTTGCATTCTAAACCCCCTGTTAAAAGAAATTAAAACACTTAATTGAATTATTGATTTGACCAAGATTTAACTACAGTAATGTTCTGTCATATGTAAAGCTCTTTGATACAAAATTGTTTTTTAAGGTAAACATGGCTGATAAAATAAACATTTCTTTACTAGCACCCCTGGTGAACTGGCCCGCTCTTATTTAGTATGGAAATGCCAATATCAGACCCTTTTCATTTTGGGGTCTGCACCCACCTCATTCACACCCACAGGCATCTTTTGTATTTAATGCAGCATATACTTTATCTTAATAAATATACAATTTAAGAACTGCTCCATTTTCTAAGTGTTGGTGAATAATCAACCACCATTATTATTCTAGAGCTGCTGCTGTGTTATTTTTGTTTTTACCGAGTTGTTTAAACACCACTGCAATAATCTAACCTTCCCAAACAGAAAATCAGGTTTTCAGGTTCCTGTTCTGTGAGGGATCCCTTAATCCTAGTAATTTATGAGGTTGTAGAGATTAATAATAGTAAGATAAAAATCTGAAGTCCAGTTAAGTTCTGATCTAACTTCCCATTACCTTGCAAAAATAAAAGCAAGTGCTGCAGAAAATCCGACATCCACATGGTGATATAATAGACACACAAAGTGATAACAAACTTTAACCATGTGGTCATGACAGAAGATAAGTTGAGTTGTTTGCCAATGTTTTCCTTCATAATTTGAGCTATGGAGAGTGTATAGTAAATAAAGCTGTTAGAGAATGAAGCTTGAAGACCTCCCAACTAGAATCTTTGTTTGCTAAATAATACATTACCAAAAATATAAAACATTACAAGTATGATTGAGTTATATGTTTTCATGTTTAGATATGTTACAAATCCTGCATTATTTGCTTGGCATCAATAGGTTAAAAAAAAAGGAAAAAAGGTGAATTATTAGATTTCTTTTTTACATTTTCCCCGATTTTTCATTTTGATTTTAATGCTAGCTGCAACTTTAATGCAATGCATACCAGAGCGCTAAAAAGAATATTCAGTAGGACTTCGGTTTAGTTCAGTCCTCTGGAGTCCATACTGTCCTGTCTGGAAGTGTAATTTAGATTAAAACTAGATTAAAGTCTGTATTTTATGATCTCTTGACCAACACAGTGAACAAAAAGGGGAAACTCAATAGATGTCATACGTCATGCATAAAACAGTTTTTAAAAATAGACTTATTAGCCTCTTACACCCTCAGGGGGTATAAATAAATTTCTGCCTGACAAAAACACACAAAAGTAAATCACTTATAGCCTCACAGCTATTAGATTTAAGAAGAAACTTTTGGTACCTCTGTAAAGGTAAGATGTCATAGAATGGTTTTCTGGTGTCAGCACCATTGTAGCTTTGACCCTGCCTGAAATATTAGGGACAAAATACAAAATATTTTGCATTTTTTGAACCTCGCCAAAATTTTCTTTGAAATAAACATTGCAAAAAACTACCAAAATATTATTTATAGCACAAAAAAGTAGTACAGACTTTTAAATCTAAATGTTGTGTAAAAATATACCAAATTTGGACTCAATCAGATGAATCATATTTATTTTAGAATGGTATTAGTGAGAAATTTCTTAGGCGGAGAGGCCATTTTGACACATTTATCCCAAAATGTCACCAAACAGTGCCAAATGTGTTTTTTACATCAATACTGGGGGTTTGTTAAAATAACGAGGTCACGTAGCAGCTGGACTCACCGGTGGGTCCGTAGGGTTCTAGGGGTTAATTATTCTGTACTTTTCAAGGAAACATATTTAAGTTCTGTACTTGATTGCAGTATTGGCCCAAATGAGACTGTTGTCCCCTAGAGATGTTAGTCAGATGCTATAGACTAGTCAGCTGTGTTGAACGCTGCATTGCAATCTGGCAAAACCAAGACCAACAGAGGTTTTAGATGCCTCAGCATCAAAATGAATGATTCACATACATTCACTAATGTTTTAGTAAAAACAATGTATAAAAACAAAGAGATTACTTTTAAAGGATTTGTTTTCTTTTTGGAAAATGCATTCAGAACATCAGAAATGCTGGATTAGGTATGGGCCTGTAATGAATTATTTTGGCATCCAGATTAAGCGTCCTAAAAGGTTGGATCACTGAAGGTTTTCCAGGACCTGTTGAGAGCAGTTAACATGGAAAGTCTCTGAGTTGAGCTGGACTTTTATTTTATAGGATGACTACAGTGAATAGAGGAGTATTTATCTGACTTCCTAACTTGCTCAGTAGCAGTCATTTCCATTGAGCTGATGGTGGAACCACAGGGATTCAGGTAAAAGGATAACATTGATTTTAGGGGCAATGCCAGAAAAAATCTTGACTACTCCAGCTAATATCAGATCATTACAGTGTTAATCTAAATGATCTTTACCTTTGAAAAGGTGGTGTGAGGGTTCTACATATATCCAAATGAATTGAATAAATCTTTTATCCATCAATATGACAAACATCCCTCTAATATATCAAGAGACGCGACTATTAAAATAAGAAATAAAGGAAACTGGGAAATTATTCACACAGATGCAGCACATTCCAAACATTCCATGTCTATAGCATTCTATAGCCATTATGCATTCATAGCAGCTGATGTCTGTGATATCAGCCATGCACTGCAATGCAACAACAGATGTGTGATAATTAGCCTGCACCGTGTATATTTATACCTTCAACAAATGCACTGGACACACAACCTACGCCACAACCAGCTGGCACATACAACTACAATTTATTCATGAACTGATGGACAAATTTGTAACCTGATAGATATGATTATGAGTCTGGAAAGTGATTACATCATCAGTGAAAAGATTTAGATAGAAATTCTGTTCAAAACTTTAGATTTTCATTATTACTTGGGTTCAAGTTCTCTCTGGTCCAACAGGTCAACAGAGTCAGGCTGGTGTTACAGATATTTTGCTGTAATCTTTATTAACTTTGGTACTGTTAAGTAGGTAACATTTATTTGCACAGTACCTTTTATGGATATTAGAATAACAAAGCATTTCACAACAATGAAAACAAAAATACATTTCATGTGATCTTTTTCATAGCCAGCCTCTTCTGGGTCCCCTGTCATATTTTATTTTGTATTTTTGTTCTTATTTTCTTTTTTTTTTTTCTTTTTACAACTTTTTCTTTATTCTGTTAATTCATTATGCCTTTTTTTATATTATTTTGAATCAGTTGAAGACAGTTTTTAAAGTACCTTAAATTTCCCAGTTCTCTCTATAACTTTACACAGAGAAAAAACATTTTGTGCAAAATCTTTTATTTTTATTAACACAGTCTAAAGATAACATGTTAGGGGGGATTTCATGAGTTATATAAGTAATGACTTAAATTTTAAGAATGGAACTCATAAGAAATGGGAGAAAATGTGGATGCACTACATTTTAGGGTGATTTCTGAAAAGTATATTTGTATGAAGAAATAAGTACATGGTCCCTATAGTTACCAGAAATTTTTCCTGTAAAATCGAAATCAATAATCTTTAGTAAAACAGGGTTTTGTTGTAAAACCTTTGGACACAAAATGAACTCATTCGGAGTTAATTGTAAAATAACCACGTTTGTCCACAAGATGGAGCTATTTCACCATTTCAGTATCTATGTCAGGTGGAGGTTATGATAAGTGTGAGGACAGTAACAGGCGCTGCTTTCCCTCTGATTTTCCAGAGTTTAAAAAGCCTGGATGACCATGATGTTTACATGATGTATTTGCTAAAGCCGTTATCATTTATTCAGTTGTATCATCTCAACAGCTTACTTTCCCTTTTCATTCTGGTAGATCATCCTACAATTTATTAACTTTATTATTATCTGAGGTCCAGGCTGCTTTAGTATGGTTTTCCTTTTTAGTTTGTAGCCTAAGGCTCTTGTCAAGTCATCATCCCTCTGTCTTTATTGCAAACACACAATAAAACAGCTGACATTGTAGCCATAGTAACGCCACGCCGCTCTTCTCCCTAAAGTGATGTGAATGGAAACTGGAGAGGAGCTCCTCCTCCTCCTCGTCCCCAGGTTAAAGGGAGTCTCCTCCTGCCGGTGTCATGGACGAGGCGGAGGTAGGCGAGGAGGAGCCAGGCTTCCAGCAGCCTGCGCCTCCTGTAGTAGCTGCCAGTTTTAGCGGATGCTCTAATGATGGGAGCGGCGGGGGGACAGAGATGAAGAGATTCACACTTGGAGGCGGGGCCGCGCGCAAAAACTCCAACAACAACAACGAGCTGTGGCTCCTGCAGGACGAGGACTCCTATAAAGAACCTCTGGGCGCAGCTGACAGCGCCGCCTCTGCTTTGTTATGTCCGGGGGAAGCTACTGGCAGCCGGGGTGGCTCAGTGTCAGACCACAGGAGGGACACAGTCTCAGAGGCATCAGGCGCGGGGCCCATCGGAATGATATGCAACAAGAACGGAGACTGTAGAAGGGACCCAACCAGTTCAGGGAGTCTGTCTTCTCTCATCTCCAGACAAGAAAGGCAAACAGATGGAGACGTAGGGAGTCAAGAGGAAAAGGGGCAGGCTGGGAGGATGGACGCCTCTGGTACCTCAGCGGGGTCCCTGACTCAGGGCCCCACCGGGACTGAGGTCAAGACCACCGCACCGATGGAGAAGAAGGACTCAAGAGTTTCTTTTTCCAGCGCTCCGACTGGCAAAGGTCAAACCCCGAGTGCGCATTCAAGAAACTCTGTCACTTTCACTAAAGCGGAGGACAGTTCTCAGATAGTTCCGGACGATGGGGACTCCAGGGGGAACCAGACCTACATGCAGCGGCAGTTCAGCTCCATGCTCCAGCCTGGAGTTAATAAATTCTCCTTGCGCATGTTTGGGAGCCAGAAGGCGGTGGAGAAGGAGCAGGAGCGCGTAAAATCTGCGGGTAACTGGATTATCCACCCATACAGCGACTTCAGGTATGGGCGGATCCGACATGGTTCATCCTGTTAAAGTGCTTTTAGGTCCATGAAAAGTATAAAAGCATCGATTTGGGATCCTGGAAAATGATTTCAGACAACTTTAGATGAATAGATCCATTAAAAGCATTTTTAAACGCCTAAAATGAGCACACACAAAATATAATTACAAGCAGTAACTTCAGCGCATATTTTTTCTTCTCCGCCCTGTTATTTTAATGGACGCAGATCTTTTAAAACGAGTCCAGACTCTTCATACGTTGATAAAATGCTGCTTTCACAGAACTATTTATTACATTTTTCTGAGGTCAGCTGGCTTTGTCGGTGGTTGTTCCAAACAGTAAAAAAAGTCAGTTTCAGCACCAAGGACAGTTCCTTCCCAAAAATTCTGCGTAAAAACAGTTAATTTATTTTTATTCGTCCGTTTTCTACAAAAAAAACAAAACAATTCGCAATAAATTATAACACAGTTAAAAAGTTGAAACATTGCATACTGATTAAAAATGGATTTTAGCATTTCAGTTCAGAAATGAACTGAATTACTGAAATGATGTCTGTATTCTCTAATATCTTACTTCTGGCAAATTCAATGCTTGCCTTACAGTTTGTCAGTTAGAAAATAAGCAGTTTTTAAAAATAGATATTTAATGAGTTTTTTTTTTTTAGATATATATCTTTTTGTATTCATATTAAGACCAACACACTCACAGGGGAATTGATGAGTCCAGAAGGAGGGAATGCCACAAAAAACAATTCCTAAATAACCTACTTGCTCACCGAGTGGTGTCCCTATACATATTGATGGAAAGCTTAGCAATAGGAAAACAGTATGGTCTACATGCAGCAAGGGAAAAAAAACACCTTTAGAGGCACGTGAATATATACCAACCTCCCTGGAAATTTTCACTTTCTCAATGCATCTCCTTCATGATGATGCTGCTGACCCTGCTATGCCTTTTCTCAATTGAACTTAGCTTATTTAAAACGTATACAGTGCTGTCAAAGGGAGAATAAGATACGCCAGAACCAACCACACATAAAGGCAGAAGGCTGTTAAGGCAGGCTGGGCTCCTTGGACACCTCAGCAGCATCACAGGGTGATTACCTCCACGCCACGCTGCACTGATGCAATAATTAATTCAAACATTTACATATCTCATTTAAATTAACATTTTCAGAGAAACTTAATTTTGGGGTTCTTACTGGCTATTAGCAAGGATACCCAGAATTCAGTCCATGAAAGCTGCTGTCCTGCAGTGTATAGATGCATCACTGCCCCATGAAATCTGAAATCAAATGAGTGGCTCATTACCAGGCCTTTGCCAAACTTGATAGCATGCTGAAGAGATGAGCTGCATTCGAGGAGAGATGTATCCAAAGCTTTCAGGACAGTAGCTCTCCTGCTAGTATTCATAGTCCTAAAAACGTATTGAAATAAAATTCTACCACTCTGCATGGAATGAAACTCTTTGATAAATGGCTAAAGCAAAATAAACTTCAAAGTGATTTTCTCATTTATAAATCTATAAATACACATCTATAAATACATAGCTTTTGTACCTTATTTGCATCTTATTTTACTTAGCAAAAATTTATATTTGGGACATTGATACTTGAAAACCTCTGACTATATAAAGCTGAATAATACAGCCGTGACTGAGTGTCTGTCTTATTGTGTCAGTGCCTGTAGTGGCAAATATAAAGTATTACAAGAATCAACAGAAACATTTGCCTTTGTTTTTTCTCTTTTGCCTTTTAGGGCATACAAATAATACAAGACAAAAAAAAAGAAAAAAAATTCAAACTTTTCTTTTCCAGATTTTTATTCTCTCTTGACTTTCAGGGCTTCCGTATAAATCAGACGTCAGACGCTAAAAGAATAAAATAAATGGAGACAGAAAAAGGCATAGTAGCTCATCAGTGTTATGTCTACAATGTCAGTGTCAGTCCCCCACCCAGTACTGTAGTTAATATCATTGCACTAAAGCTGTGTAAAGTCTCATCTTTACTGGCATGTAACCTCAGCCACTAAAAACTAAGTAGTTCAGATTTTACTGCGGTCTTACCTCTTATTCCCAACCATTGCGACGTACAAAAATCTTTGAGTCTGCCACACTTAAAGTGTCAAAAAGGCTGCCTTCTGTCATCTTAGTTAGAAAGGACAATTTATATGAGTACTTTCAATTAGATTTCCCATGGTTTCCAAAATACTATGGGTTTAAAAAAAAAAAAAGTCCCTATGTGTTCCAAAGAGTACTAATAACATATCTAGGGTCTTTAAAAAATAGAAATGATCTCAGAGCGTTACATACTGTATCCTTCACCCTACCTAACAGTGAGCACAATGTGCTGCTCCACACATTTATCTTAGTCCCATCTGACCACATCACACTGTTCTAGTTAAACTCCCAGTGTTATGTTTAAAAAGAAAAGAAAAAAAAAACTGCACCTCTTTATCGTAATGATTTTTAAAAAGGTACTTTTTTAATGACAGACTTGAAAAATAATATTTCTTGATGTTGTGTGTATAAGATGCCCCTTTTCTTGCACAAGTGTTATAAAAATTAACTATTCTCCATAAACAAAGAGTTTTTATTTAATTTCCCTTTATTTTCTGCTCCAAGTCCATGGTTGCATGATAAATACGGGTCCTTATCCCATTTTTTTTTGTCACAAAATCAATTAGAGTTGCATAATATCTTGAATCTTATTTGCTCATTCATAAGAAAATATCCAAACAGCTGTCTGGACCCTTCATACCGAACTTCTTTATACCCCCTTGTAAACATAAGCACTAGATTATAAACATAATGTAGTTATATATATAATTTATTATACCCAATATCTGTGTCTATTAAATTTGTAATTTTACTTGATTGTCTTTACAATTGTTGTTAATTTATTCAACCCAGTCTTTGCTTAAAAATCAAACATCAAATGTGGTGCTGAAATGTTGCTGATCATCCCTGATGATATAACTAAGCAGTTTATTAGACTCCTAACCGCTCTCGCTTCTCAGAACTTCATCCCTTTCAATCTGACTGTCAGTATATACTTATTTTGGTGAGTAGCCTTATGAAGATCAACACTTATTTGGCAAAATGGCCTCTGATTTGTTTCCCCAGTAAACGTTCAGTTCCTCAATCAAAGATAAATAGTAAAAGACTGAAATGGATTCCTTTGTAACATTATTTTTTGTTGGGAGGAAAATCATTTGTTAAATGATAGTTATTTTCTAATATTAATATTTCTACCAAGATGAATGTATTTACAATGGGAGGAATTGAACTAAAGTTTTAGGCGAATGCAATAAAGATACATTTATTTCAAGGCTTTACTCACATCTTTATAAGGGAATTTGTATTTCTAACTTATAACAAAAGCTCAGCATGAATCACTAGTTTAATCTTCTTCTGCTCAGGTTCTACTGGGACTTCACCATGTTGATGTTCATGGTTGGCAACCTGATCATCATCCCAGTAGGCATCACATTCTTCAAAGATGAGACAACAACACCCTGGATCATCTTTAACGTGGTCTCAGATACCTTCTTTCTTATGGACCTGGTGCTCAACTTCCGGACAGGGATTGTCTTTGAAGACAACACTGAGATCATCTTGGATCCCAAGAAGATCAAGCAAAAATACCTGAAGAGCTGGTTTATCGTGGACTTTGTTTCCTCCATACCTGTGGATTATATCTTCCTCATTGTGGAGAAGGGGATCGACTCAGAGGTATACAAAACGGCCCGGGCACTTCGCATCGTCCGGTTCACAAAGATCCTGAGTTTGCTGCGCCTCCTCAGGCTGTCAAGGCTCATCCGTTACATCCACCAGTGGGAGGAGGTACACTAAGATTCATCTTTTATCCTCTAGTCACAGGAAAAGGAACAGGGTTTGTAACAGATCTTAAAATGTTAAGAAGTTACTGATGAATGCAGCTAGGATTTTGGGAATTGAAAAGAGATTCTGTTTTAAAATTATAGGAGTGAAATCTCCTATAATCTTTTTATTAATTTCAAAACAAAATGCTAAAAAAGCAAGTTTTAAAAATAAAGACTTATCAAACAATGCTACACATCTGTTCTAAAAATTGAATTGAATAAAACATTAAATTCATGGGGATGAACAATTTTTACACTTGCAAAAAAAAAACTCAACTTGACTTCTACTTTTTATTTTGTGTGTTTCATGTACAGGTACTGTCTTTTTGTGAAAGCTGGTAACAAAGCTTTATATTGATCAACATTTTTTTGGAAATTTTTGTAATATCTCCATGACCCATGCTGCACAGCACCGGTACTTATCAGCTTAGCATTTCAAGCCATAATAAATGCCAAGTCTAATTATTATAAAAAAGCGAATCCATTCTGACTGTGCTTTAACTAATAATGGAAAATGGGTTACGGTGCAGCAGATCATGCGAATAAACAAGTAATTGCATTTTGCATATCTCAACTGTGGCCCTGTAAACAATAGCTTTCTAACAGGTGAACAAATGAGGTTTTACGATGCAGCATCACAATGAACTCAGTGAATGGATTTTAGATCATTATAGCCCAGTTTACTGAGGCAGTTGATTAAAGACTCATTTTTGCTTGTCAGTACATGTGATCAGGTAGTATTATAGAAATGTGAACAAACATTTCAGGGATATTCTAACCATCTCTTTCCCTTAAAAAAAAAAATTGTGTCTTATCTTTTTCTAATCTTAATTTAGTGACATTTTGGACTAACAAGGCAGGAAAAGATAACAACAACAAAAAAGGTGAAAATATCTACAGTTATGATATTAATAATTATTCAGAGATGTAAGAGCTAATTAGCAAAGTAAAGATGAAATAATCCGATTAAATATGTTTTTTTATGTATGAGAAGTGATTTTGTTTCAGTTCTTGTTAAAATTTCTTAGACAAAAACATTGAGATGAATTCACATTTTATCTAAGCTTAGACAAGATCACTGTTCTCATCTTTTAACCAGTCTTTTCTATTAAATTCAGCATATTTATATAGCGCCAATTCACAACCATGTCATCTCAAGGCACTTTACAGAGACAGTTCAACCATATCATACAGTCAAATTGATTCAAAGTTTTCTATCTAAGGAAAACCAGCTGATTGCATAGACTCATTGACTCGAAGGCAATCCCTCACACTAAGCATGCTTGGTGTGACAGTGGAGAGGAAAAACTCCCTTTTAACAGAAGGGAACCTTCAGTAGAACCAGGCTCAGTTTGAGCGGCCATCTGACGAGGCCGACCGGGGTTCAAGGAGACAGAAGCTGATATAGAAAAAGAAGCAGAGATACAAAAGGCGTCTGTCAATCAACGCCACATACGGCCCCATCCAGGAAACACACAGCCAGGCAGACCAGCTCCGAGCTAGCTCCGATGTCAGAGGATGAACGAGCACATTTAGTTAGTCACAGTCAGAGAAACAGGACTACACTGAAAAAAAAAATTAGCTCCAACATCCACAAACAAAAGTGTCTTTTAAAAATAAAGTAATTAGCCGGGTAACTTCCTCTGGATTGTGTTAAATTGACTTCTGGTATAAGTAAAATAACCATAGTGTTATCTTTGACCAGAACATGCAATTTGATTCCCATATTAAACATGTTTAGAAAAAGTCCTTCTGTCCTCCCCCTAATATTACTAAAGTGACACTGAAACACTAGTTCATACAATTTATAACTCAAGGCTAAAGTGTTATTTTTTCTAAGTAGCAGGACATAAAAAATTTATAAATAAAATAAGAGCCACCAGCTATTCCATTATGCTGCAGCAAGACTTTGGATGAAAATTTAAATGAATGATCAAATTACTTCTAGCGTAGGTGTGGCTTCTCTTCATTAATATCTGTTAGATTGAACTAGTTTACATTTTCTTTGATTCTTCTATCTTTCTGGACATCTGACATACAATTCTATTTTATTTCTATTTCTTAGATACCTGTTGACTTTTTAGTTGAATGTAAGCATGTCTTCATTAGTCATTCATTCTTCCTAATGGATTAAAACCACAGACAAGTTGTGCCTTAAATTTGAACAAATTTTTAATATTAAAGGCAGACATGTGATGTATTGACCTTCAGTTCTTCCATCTATTTATTTTTTCAAGATATTATATCCTGCTGTTTCATGTCTGCCATTTTGTGTTGTAGTGCTACAGCTGTGTAGAGAAAAGTTAGTGAAGACTTTCTGTACATTTCTTTTATGTTAAGTTGATTTGTTTATAGTTAATACTAGTTCATACCTGGAGTAAAATGTAACTCATATTAAGTTAATTTAATGATGACCAATCAGTCTTGCAGAGAAAATGAGCCTAAGCTATTGATGGATCATTATCATCCAACATATGCCCCATGTGTGCTGCACAAACAACTATTACTGCCTCATTTACCATCTCCACTTTTTTAATCAGTATGCAAACTGACCAGTGTACAAACCAAACATCTGCCATCAAACGCATGTGCTCTTGCTCTCAAAAAAAAACTGAAGCTCTGATTATAGAGTGGTAACTTAAGTTCAGTGAGAGCCATAACTGCTGATTTAAATACACAGCAGACAATAATGGCTCTGGCCTTAACTGCTCAGTTAAACTTAGCTCTTCTCTGCTTTGCTCCCCAATCCAGACTTAGCTCTGACCCTCCCTAGCTGGTCAGGCTCAGCTTATTTAGCCGCAGGTGGGCTTCCCAGAAGATTACCCATGATTATTTCAAACTCATTTGTTACGGGGAGGCCTGAAATGATTAGTTTTTTTTACATGGACATTGGACCAACATAAAGGGTGTCATCAGTATCAGTGAAAATATAAAGTGCAGCTTTCTAAGGTGGAGCTACATGCCTTTTTAACTAAAATCACCACATAAATGAAACAGGATTTGAACTCACTGGAATTCATCTCTTTGATTATTTTACTGAATACGTTTTTTTAATTCTCACTGCATAAAGGAGTAATTTCTTTTACTTATAATAACGAAAAATAGATTTTATTGATGTCACATTGGAGAAATTTAGCTCTGCAATCAACCCATTCCCTTGGAAGCAGTGGGATGCAACTGTGGGGCGCCAGGGGAGCAATCTGGGTTTAAGGGTCTTGATGAGAGGCATTCCAAGTTCTATGCCCTAACCACTAGGCCACCACTACCTCACTACCTACCTACATGTGGTCATGCTTTGACCTGGATTGTGGTGTGACAGTGACACATAGCTAGGTGCTGTTGGGGTGTTAGGGAGATCATTAGTACTGGAGACTCATTAATCACAATATGAACGGCTGCTAATGACTGAACGGGCCTCACAGTTTGTTGTCCATCCTGGTTCTCTTCAGTTAGAGTTAATAGGCATTTTCAAACATAGATGCTAAATTTAGAAATATAAGGGAGACAAAGTGTTGGATTTGGTGGTTTAGTAGTAAATACAGTAAATACAGTATTTAGTTTGCACTAGCCCATATTTGCACTAGTTATGGATGTCCATGAATGTCCTTTGTCTTCACCAACAGCCTTCTGGTACAGTTCTTGCGTATTTTTTCTTTCTATCAGAACTGGTGTAGTTTATTTTAATTGGTTTAACTTATAGTTCACCAATGTTCTAGAGGGTTGAGATCTGGACAATTCTAGAATCACTAATGGAGTCAGCTTGTGATGAGTGTTTTATGTCCTTGTCCTGTTGGAAGCCAAAGTTGTGTTCGATATTCAACTCTTATAGTCTTGAACTTATCAAATGATTTAGTCAAAGTTTTTTGTACTAATTATTCTCTCAACTTTGTGTAGTGCACCTGCCCCCCTTGCATTGACACAGATCCTAAGAAAGATGCTTTACATTGTCTTCATCGTATCATTGTGAGAAACTACCTCAATGTTTGTCTGAGCAAGACCTATTTCCCTTCCATTCAGTCATTAATGGTGTCAGGATTGAAAAAGCAGGTTGACATTAGGTTTAAGGTGTTTCATGAAGCTTAACTCAGTTGTAGATTGTTGACCATGTTTAGAATTAGTTTCTCTTCCACTTTTAAGTGGAAGTTTTGACTTTCAATCATTCCTTACCGAAAAACATGCATCCCTAATAGCAAAACAAATATTGTGAGAATAATGCCCAGGAAACAATGGGTTTGTCCAAAGCTCTGAATCTCACTACATTAACAAGCAGAGAAGAATATTATTGTATGTTTAGTATTCCAGCCAGCTGCAAGTGGCTGCCGACTGGTTCTCTGATATGACAGGAGTTACAGAATATCCTGACCTAGCTTCTCCCAAGCCATAACATTCCTAACATTATGTTCTTTTGCATCACCAGACATGTGGCCTAGTTTGCATGTAAGATGGTTTTCATGTATCTTGTGGGACTCTGAAATAACTAAACCATCAGCTTGGCTGTATGAAACAGGGGCTTTAAGGCATGCATAAATGTATACGCTTATAAAGCAGACATACATTGCCTGGCCTACTTCTTCCTGTTTGATACCACCCTTTACCTTTTGAGGAAATACTCTTTTACCTATAATATAGTAACCCTCCAGTTGGCCCAGTTAAATAAGGATTTCACACTATGTAATATTGGCTCCACAGGCATAATGAAAACACAGCCTGGCCAACAGCCAAGAAGACAGAACTGATTAGTGTTTTTAATCCTAAGACCAAATTCTTACCTGGAGCTCAAAAACAATGGCAGCAGGACACACAGATGATCTCCAGAATCCAAACTTCTTTCTTAAATATTCATAACATTTTACCTCTGGAAAGAAATCACTTTAGCTCTAATTACTTTTCTACCTGGATGTAAACCTGGTTAGTAGATTTTTGAATATAGACTTTAATGTTGCAATGGCTATGACTTCTCAGACTTCTGCCAGATGATAATAGCATGTTAAATATGACACGTGTTATGTGTTTCAAATAGGCCAAGTTCAAATTCCTACAGCATTATAACAGAAGGAAATATGTCACATTTAAAAAGTGTCGGCCTTTGAGAAAACTCCAAGCTTGATGACACCACGTTGCAACATGACATAAATATCTTTTCCTTTATTTATATATTATTTTTCTTGGAAACCCAGCCAGTAAAGCAGTCATTTAAGATTATGTGAGAAAAACATAATTAATCGTCAGGTGATTTTATATTTTTTCTTTTTTGCTTTGTTTTCTATCAATATGTACATTCTATGTCAATTTAGGAGTTTTTTGGATATTGAAGGAAGGAAGGAAGGAAGGAAGGAAGGAAGGAAGGAAGGAAGGAAGGAAGGAAGGAAGGAAGGAAGGACTTGATGCAGAGTTTTTTTTTTCACGTGTTCTATAAGCTACACTAACAGTATAACTAGTATTACTGAGGACATACTGCTTTTTGCATGTGCTTTGTTTTCAAAGTTGCTTTAAAAACACCTTTCCAGCTTTTTAGTCATAACAAGCTTTCTTGTTAATTGACATCTATCTCACAGAGTTAACCAGAATTTCCCCAACTGTCAAGTAAAGGCCATATTGCTAAAAGTAAAGCTTGACAAACTGTTGCTGTGTTACACCAAACTGGATGTGCAGTCAAAGCAAATTTGGTCCTGTTTGCCATCCTCTGAGCTGTGACTGTGCTTGTTTAAACATTGATTGTTAATTCTCAGCACATATAGCACAGCTTTCCCTCCTGACACTCCAGTCGTGTAAACTCTCTCTCCATCTTTGCTCCCGCTGACAGATCTTCCACATGACCTACGACCTGGCCAGTGCTGTGATGCGAATAATCAACCTGATCGCGATGATGCTGCTGCTGTGCCACTGGGACGGCTGTCTGCAGTTCCTTGTTCCCATGCTGCAGGACTTTCCATCTGACTGCTGGGTCTCACTTAACAAGATGGTGGTAAGCAGTTTTATGGTGCTTTCTAATGAGCTCATACCAGAACATTTGAGACAGCAAATCAGCAGCAATCAAAACATTGAAAACATCCTCAATGGGAAAAATGTGTTGAGTTGAATGGAGCCAAAAAAGAAAAAATAACCTTCATCCAATGATGGGCTTTCACACATGTGTAGATGCTGGACTCCTCTCAGTAAAACAGAAACCCACCCATAAGGAAGGCAGGAGATGGTGAAAAAAAGCACTTCCATTAAATGCTGGTCTTTTAATTCTCCTTTGGATCTTTTCTTCTCTTTAATTTGCATGTAGAAAATGAAATTAATAGCTTCACAGGATGGAAAGCAACTAGTTAAACTTTTGAGATACTTGAAAAGCTTTTAACTAAGCAGATATGCAGTTTGAGAAAGGGCGCGGTCATCAAACCACAGTGTATTGCATATTGCAATGACTAAAATCTCCTTTAAATCATAACAATGCGACCATTAATGTTTTATTATGTTAGGGTTAGCTGTTTATTTTAATGTGTAACAGGATTCTTAATTTCTATGAATTATTTTAGAATACTGTTTTAAATGGTTCAGTTATTCAGTTCATTTCTGGCATTTCCCTCCAGCCATCAGGACTGCATTGGCATGTTTGTCATTCCTTCATCATACAAGGCACTGAGAACATGAATCATGGGCTACATGAATCATAGATGCTGATTCAAATGCAAAATAAAATGCAAACAATTCAAAGCCTTTGGGATTGTGGTTTGGTTTGGCTTTAAAATCTAATCAGATCTGTTGGAGGTAAAACATTGGAACCTAACGACTGACATGGAGGCCAGTCAAAAGTCTGGATGTGTCAGCGACACAAGTGACAGCATGGTGTGACACTCAGTTTACAGCATTTAAATCTTTATAAACTATGTCACATTTATAAACAAAGAATTCAGCTAACAAGAGCCTTGAGTTAAAACGGTATAAGTGGAGTGAAGCATGTTGTAGATGAGCGGCAGGCAAAGGGGAAATATCCCAGTAATAACTCCTTAATGGGGGTGAAGAACATTATTTAGAATCAAATAGTGCATCCTGCATGGTCATCCCTGTCAGGACTCAGAAAAGAGGAGCCAGTATTCAAGGCAGACAGTTAGATTTCTCACAAAGCATTTATTTAAAAAATGACCTATTTGCAGCGGACTGCTAGGGCGTCTAAGGCAGGAACCTCTGCAGAGGTAAAACACAGGTTAGTGACCACGTTAATCTGGCGGAGGATGATTAAGAACGTGTGAGTCACTAACCTAGTCTTAAAGTTCAGTCCATGTCTAAATGAAAAGGTCGATATCAGCGGGACGGCTGTCAACATCATGCGGCAAATGCTACCAGAGAGTTCGGATGCTTAAGAATTATTGAAGACTGCAAACTGGTCAGGAGATCAGATCCAAGCAGAGAAAGGAAGACAGGACAATCCAGAGGACAAAGCCAAAGTCGATGTCTAAGAGGTTTAGGAGTCTGGGCCAGAAGATCAGAGATCCGAAGAGGTTCCAAAGGGAAATCCAGGTCAGTGACAGGAAGCAGTTCCAGGCTCGGTCAACAGGCAGAATCCAGGAGGAGTCCTAAGACACGTCAGACAAGCAGATCAGAACGGAAACAGGCAGGCTCAGAGGTCCACAGGCCGAATGGGTCAGGATCAGGCAATCAGAGTAAAACTGTTACTTGCAAGAAGACTCTCACCAAGACGTCATATAATCTA